CAGAGAGCATACTCATTCTCAAGTTCAGTCACTTTGAAGAGTTTGTTGTTGATGTTGTTTTTAATGGAGAAACTGAGGCCCAGAGAATGGAAGTGAATTCTCAACATCACAGAACTGTTGGGCATGGTTGTGGGCAGATTCCAAGCCTTGGTCACCCCCGGAAACACAACCATTGTATTCATGTGATACTACATTTGTGCAAATGTAAATTAGATGCTGGAGTGAATGGAGAAGAGGAAACTTCCCATCTTCTGTTACACCTGCCTGCACAAATCCTAACACAATGATACAGCCCAGTACAATGTGCATTTCCCCCATGGACATTGCCTGCTTAGGAGCCTATGGTCTAGGAGAGGGTTGAGATCACCAACATTGGTGATCTGCATGAGGATGAAGTGATGGTGAGAGACCCTAAAGAGAATGGGCCACATAAGGCATTACCTTCATTGTCAAGAATAAAAATAAAAGTTGTGTTTTTCTGGCCCTCAGTGATAGATACAATTCTCCCCAATCATCAAGAAACTCATTCCTTCCCCTCAACAACGGGCAGAGGAAACACAGAGAGATGAAACTAACACTTCTCAGCTCTCACATGCTAGTGTTTTGCTGCTGTCCTCCTAGTTCTGAATGACAAGTGTGTCAATGCCAAAATTGTAAAAGCTGGTCCAGGTCGGATGTGTTCAATGTCACGATAAAAAAACAAAAAAAAAGGTGAAGTCCTACAGCCAGGTTTGAAAACGTAGCTGAACAGGTATAGGTGAGGGGAATGCAGCTGAGAGGTAGTGCTGTTCACACATTTAACAGGTGGACATTATGACTGGGTTTCTGAAGACATTCACATGGGGGAACATGCAGTGTAGTGTGTGTGTGGTCTATGAACAGATAACCCGGTGTTCTGATGTTTACTGACACAGTCTGACATTTACCCACTGTTCACCCTTGATTCTGTGTTCTATAGAACAGTGATAATATAAGAGTCATTGTCAATCCTTGATGGGTTGAAGGAATGTGACTGGAATAGGAATGGAACCAAAACCTTGACTGGAATAGGAACAGAACCAAAACCTATCTTGCAAGATTTCTTTAGGAATCAAGTAGGATGACTTATTTAAAGTACCTAGTATTTTAAAGTGTTCATTATGCAGTTAGCACAAATTGCAGTATAAAACCCAGTAGAAGAGCACAGCTTAAAATCATGATTAGATTTCCATGTATGTCATTTCCTAGTTGTATCACCTGGAGCAAATTCCTGCCCCTCTCTGAGTTTCCACATTGGAAAATGAGGATTAAAGACCAATCTTGAAGTGTTGTTTGAGGTCTTACTGTGGCTGCATTTAACAAGACATAGTTCAAAACAAGAAAGGAGGTCATCTACCCTCCCTGAAAGGATCAGAGAACTTGGAGAAACATCTTCCATTTTTGATACCACATTCTACAAGGGTCAGTCACTGCCAAATCTGGGAGGGTTGAAGGAAAGTGGCCAGGAAGGAGGGAAAAGAACTGTATTGGCCAGGGTTCTCCAGAGAAACAGAATAAATAGGAGAGCTGTATATATATTATAAAGAATTCATTGATGTAGTTATGGAAGCTGAGAAGTCCCAAGATCTGTAGTAAGTAAGATGGAGACTCAAGAGCTTCGATGGTGTAGTTCCAGTCTGAGTCCAAGGCCTGAGAACCAGGACATCTGGTGGTGCAAGTTCTGGTCCAAAAGGTGGCAGGCAGCCAGGTGTGGGTGGTTTGTGTCTGTAATCCCAGCACTTTGGGAGGCTGAGGCAGGAGGATCACTTAACCCTAGGAATTTGAGACCAGCTGGGACAACATGGCAAAACCCCCATCTCTACAAAAATACAAAATATTAGCTGAGCATGGTCTCAGCTACTCAGGATACTGAGATGGGAGGATCACTTGAGCCCAGGAGGTCAAGGTTGCAGTGAGCTGTGATTGTGCCCCTGCACTCCAGCTTGGATGACTGAGGGAGACCCTGTCTGAAAAAAAAGGAAAAAAAAAAAAAAAAGGTGGCAGGCTCCAAACCCGAGAAGAGAATGTGTTTCAGTCTGAGTCTGAAGGCAGGAGAAGGCCAATGTCTCAGTTCAAGGCAGTTGGGCAGGAGGATTCCCTGCTCCTCATGGGAGGATCAGCCTTTTTGTTCCATTCAGGCCCTGAATTGATTGGATGAGGGCCACCCACATTAGAAGGAGGCATCTGGTTTGCTCAGTCTGCAGATTCCAATGTTAATCTCATCCAGAAACACCCTCACAGACACACCCAGAATAATGTGTGCCCAAATGTCAGGGCACCCCATGACCCTGTCAAGCTGACACATAAAATTAACCATCACAAGACCCAAAATCCATTTTCCCCGAGGGATAGTTATCTGTCTCATTTGTGAGCTAGGGGACTTGTTCTGGGAGACAATTATGTCCATGTTATGGAACACAGATTCTGATTCAATGTAAGAAAGAACTTTCTAGCATTCAGCGTCGTTGAGAATGAAATGAACTTCTTGGGGAATGCATTCTCTCTTATTGGTAATGCACAAACAGAAGCTAAACAAACCCTTGCGTAAGAGTCTGTCAAGGAGAATAAAGCATCAGCCGCAGGCCTTAAACAGTAACTGGACCAGAGGTTTCTTCCAAGCACGTGAGTCTACGGTTCTGTGATTTTGTGGAAGTGCTCCACAAATGAAGGTGGTGTTATAATTTGAAATCACACAGGACCAGGCACTTAATATATTTTCTCCAGGCAATAGCAACCCAATCATTCTCTCCCACTATAGTGCTCATGCGATGACACTGTCACTCAACAATCATCAGGTGCTCCCCATCACCTAGTGATGACACTCCAACACATTGGCCTGACCTACGAACCCTTCTTCTAATAACCTCCAAACGTGTCTTCACAGCCTGATTGCTACTTTCCCATATGGACACCATGCTGCCACCCAGCATGTGCCTTGGGTTTTCAAGGCCCCTATGTTCTGTCCCTCATGAAAGGACATCACTCTGAATCCCTCAGTACTGGGTGTATTAGTCCATTCTCACCCTACTATAAAGAAATACCTGCAACTGGATAATTTATAAAGAAAAGAGGTTTAATCAGCTCATGGTCCTGCAGGCTATACAGGCTTCTGTTTCTAGGGAGGCCTCAGGAAACTTACAATCATGATGGAAAGGGAAGCAGGCACATATATTCACATGGCCAGAGAAGGAGAGAGAGAAAAGGGGCAGGTGCTACACACTTTCGAACAACCGGATCTCATAAAAACTCTGTCATAAGAACAGCAAGAGTGAAGTCCATCCCCATGATTCAATCACCTCCCACCAGTCCCCTCCTCCAACACTGGGAATTATAATTCAACATGAGATTTGGGTGGGAACACAGAGCTAAACCATATCACTGGGCTAAGTAATCCTCCTGTGAGTTTCCTAGGCCTAATGCTCTGACCCACATGCCAGCATATGCTACGCTGCATTGCAATTGCCTGGTCACTTGAGTCTATCACTCAAGTGAACCAAGAGCCCCTCAAGAGAGAAGCTATGGCTGCTTGCCTGTTGTGTCTAAATACTTCAATGCCTGGCATGTAGTAACTGTCTCACATAACATTTACTGACTGAAGTGTTCTTTATGAACTCCTTTCATCTGCCACCTTCTAAATTCCTGCAGTGTTCTTTTTTTTTTTTTTTTTTTGAGACGGAGTCTCGCTCTGTCACCCAGGCTGGAGTGCAGTGGCCGGATCTCAGCTCACTGCAAGCTCCGCCTCCCGGGTTTACGCCATTCTCCTGCCTCAGCCTCCCGAGTAGCTGGGACTACAGGCGCCTGCCACCTCGCCCGGCTAAGTTTTTGTATTTTTAGTAGAGACGGGGTTTCACTGTGTTAGCCAGGATGGTCTCGATCTCCTGACCTCGTGATCCGCCTGTCTCGGCCTCCCAAAGTGCTGGGATTACAGGCTTGAGCCACCTCGCCCGGCCTCCTGCAGTGTTCTAATCATATCTCCACAATGTCATTCATCCAATAATGTATTCATCCAATTGACATTGTTTAAATGTCTTTTAGGTGCCAAACTCTATGCTGGGTTTTGGGGATAGATTGGGGACTAGAACATAATCTTGTCTCTCAGGAGGCTTATATTCTACTAGGCAATAAAGACAGGCAAATAGGCAATGATAAGACACTGTCCTGGAGGTATCACAATAATCTCTTTCACTGGATAGAGAGCTCCAGAAGGCATGGATTAGCTAAGTTATTTCATCTCTGTTTCTTCAATGCCTAACCCAGTAAATAGTATGTAATTGCTGAATGAATACGTAAGTATAGGTAATCCTGTACTTACGCCAGTAACTTGGTCATGTCTTCCTGTCCAGGCAAACCATTGAGATCTTAAGCAATCCCAGAATTTTAGAGCTGCAAGGAACCTCAAAGATCGAGGAGTCCAGTTCTTTCTCTATGATTTTAATTCCTTCCACAATATCCCAACAATCAATTTTGTGGAAAGAAGTATGAACTCCTAGGCATGGATGTGTCATGCAAAAATAAGATGATACTGTTTTTGCTGATTTTTAGACATAATAGAGATGGAAATTGTAAAAGCACATTTTCCAAGTTAACCCGTGTTCTGTCTATAGCTGGTACCTATTGGTGTTGCTCTGGTTCTCCATAAGTACAGATAATGTGACACAGAGGTCCCATCCTGTAACAGCAAGCACTATGATCACAGCCTACTAATTCCACACACCAGTCATCCCAGCACACTCAAATAAAAGAATTTGGACAGTTTGTTGAAATTCACTGTGATCCTATTTGTTTCGGAATTAAAACATTAATTGGGTATGTGCGACAATTCATTTTGGTTCCTTTGGATTGGATTGCTGTGCAAATGAGTAGTGAATACAAGGGAAATATTTAACCTAATTGAACATGAATATGCTCAATTTCTGAGTCCTCTTCAAACCACTTTGGCAACTGTGTTATTGAGGACGAGTAATGAAAGTGCTGAACACAAATTTTCATCAATTTTTTTAAAGCACTTGCTAGTTTCTATAGCACTGATCTTGAGCCAATAGCAGCAGCAACTTGATAAACTAATTTATGTGATATGGTTGAATTTTTAAAAGTCTTTAACATCTTCTTGCCACCTCCTGTTCAGGAGAATGCGTGAGGCTTTGCAGCATGAGGACTCAGGGGAGTTTGAGGACCTCTGTGAGCTTATGAAGTCTGTGTTTTAAATGACTTGCAAGATAAGATGAGTTGTTATACTCCCATCCTAAGGACAAAGTCAAATGATAGAAATTAAGGTTAGGGGATTTAGAGAACATCAAAGCATTTTTATGCCCTTGAGAACAAGCTTGTAAACATCTGGTAAGGACATGAATTGAATTGATAGGAACCAGGGTTATATTAACTAGGATGCAGATGCTTCACGCTGAAGCTTTGGAAATACAAACTTAGGTTCACATTGCAACTCTGCTTCTGACAAGCCGTGTCACCTCAGCCTACAAACCTCATCTTTCTGCCTTGTAAGATCAACCACGAAGGATGGTTGGGAGAAGATGAGATAATGCATCCAAAGGAATCAGCATAGTGCCCAAAACATACACTTAGAAATGTAATTTTTCTTCCCCTTATGGAGCACTTGAGTCCATACATACACGTGTGCACAGTCTGTGCAAACAGCAAATTCAAGGATTCAGTTTGGCGGTTCATTAAAAAGGAAGCCTCCACAGAAGAGTTATGGGAGTGATTGATTAACCACTGCAATTCATTATGAAGGCCAGGAGGGAAGATATTACTGTGACAAATTGCTTAGTTTTCTGTTTTTATGTTAATGCATTTGCCAGCACAAGAGGAGGGGAGAAAAAATAAACAAAAGAAGTTCTAGTGTCAGAGAACCTCTTATTGATTGGGTTCTGCATGACAATCTCATTAAGAATGAGAAGACATGGTTTCTGTCTAAGTGTGATGGCAGCCCCACCCGGGGACAGGAGAATGGCCAGGGTGGCCTCAGGGCATTGCCCCTCCAGCCCTCAGATTCTGTACTCTTAGTATTCCCCTCCCACCTTTTCTAAAGCAGGGATGGTGGGAAGAAAAGAGAGGAGAGAAGGGTAAATGAAAGCAATTATTTTATTCTTTGACAATGGCTTGACTATGTGATAGTGAAGAGCCTCAAGTCTCAGTTTCTATTTCTATAAAATGGGTATAAAATCACCTACTTTTAAAAGACAGAGTATGTATTAAATGAGACAAATGTCACTTATCACTATCTGATACTATGTTATATATTCATTGTCTCCTTTTTGTATCATGGGTCTCCCCACTAAATTAGGGTAACAATGTTGTGTGCTTTGTTCACTACTGTGTTCTCAGCATCTAGAACCCTGCCTAGCACATAGTTGGTGCTATATAAAAAATCAGTTGAATTAATGAATGAATAATGTATATGAGGGGTTTAACACAGCGTCATTACATACTAAGATCTCAAGATTGGTGGTTTTCGGATGAGATCGGGTGTGTTCAGGGTGGTGTGGCCGTAGACTCAACATTGGTGGCTTTCAAAACCTTAGTGAACAGGTGATGGAAAGTTCATCTTGGGATCTGTGAAAGCAAGTTAGACTTAGCTTTGAATCCAGCCACGGATCGGGTAGATTGGTGCAAGGAGGTGGCATAACACAATTGGAATCCTCAAATCCCAGGGGCATGAATGAATCAAAGGTCACTGCCTGTGGGCTGGAGTTACAAGAGGTGAGACTGAGGTCCTGGATTGGTGTTGGCCTGTGGCCTCATCCTGAGATGGAGGCTTATTGAAGCTCCGCTCCTGGGAAGTAAGGGGGCAGGGACATCAGTGCTTTTTCCCTGTGGGCATGGCCTCCCAAAGGCAGGGTGTCTTACATGGGCAGGGGCACCTTGGAGAGCACAAAGGTGGTTCTCAGTCCCAAAAAGTGCTTCTTCTTTGAAAGCCCTTGTCACCTACATCACTGCTCCCCAACCAACCCCCAGGGCTAAGTTAGAGCCTTTTGTTACGAGGTCCAAGCGCACCTCTCCTCTCCTACACACGAACGTGGGTGCCTTTCCTGAGACTCATATCATGAAGCAGGGATGGCTTCTGAATGTTCCCTGCTTTATTCCCAGCATCTAGCATAGTCCCTGGCCCATTATATGGGTTCGATGAAGTCTGTAGAGTGAATGAGTGAAGTACATCCATTATATAGGTAAACAAGAAAACTCTTGTTTACACCCCCTGCCTCTCTCTCTCTCTCTCTCTAATTCAACCACTGCCACTTGTACTTCATTAACAAAAAAAAAAAAAAAAAAAAAAAAAGGTTATAACTCTTTGAGCACCAGGATTTCCTATGCAGATTCAGATATGCAGAAAACAGGCACACTTTGGGCCAGGAGACTCCACTGAAGAGTACCGACTGTGATTGGCAGGCGTCTACGTATTCTATGAGAGTTAGCTCCCACCTAAAGGTGCCCCTTTAGTCCTGCACGAGATGTCTTTGTGCCCAGGGGGCTGGGGCCATGCTAAGGGGTGACCCTGAGCACCAGGCCATGGGGAGCAGAGAATGAGAGCCTCTGGAAGCCTGTCACATAGCTCAAGGCCAGCCTGACGCTGCAGCCCATGGTGCAAACAGTTGATTTATTTCAGAGGGATGCATTTGCATTCCAGCTGCTGGCCCAGGGAAGCTTCTCTTTTCCCATTTGCCAAGCACCTGCACTCACACACCCCCGTACATATACTCACACTGTCACAACCCCCCCGCCCACACACAACCACCCAGGCACACTCACACTCACAGACACATGTACACTCTCACACATATTCACACACATATTCACACACATCTTACATGTATAACACAGTCACACATACACTTACACAGATGCACACAAAGTCACACACACGTACTTTCAATCATACACACACATACACACCAACTGCATATACTCACACACAACACAAAATACATACTTTCTCTCTCACACATAAAGTAACACACACTCATATATACACTCACACATATTCACACTTTACATATACTCATACGGTCACACACTTAAACTCACAAACACACACAGAAACACCCTGGCCAAAATAGAAGGGACAGGTGAGACTCCCTAATTCCTAAAGGAGGCAATGTCCAGGCTCCTCCCCTGTACCTCTGAGTCTGAGGCCCCCGGTTCCTGGCTGGGGCTCTGAGCCATTTTGTTCCACAGAAACGGGGCCCCACAAGCCCCCTGGTCAGCTGGGCCTTGGGCACCCCTGTCCTGGCCTGCCCCACCCCGTTTCCTGCTGAGTTCCCCACCCCAGCTATTGAGGACCCTTCCTCTTTCCCCTTCCCTGTCTCTCTCAGCAAATAATGAACTCCCTAGCTTCCCTGTCCCTTCCATCTCCCACATCCTTGGGTCATTCCCCCTCCCCTGGCTTCCCACTTCCCCAGCAGTAAATGGCAGCACGTCATGGAAAAAATCACACAGGCTTTGGAGTCAATAGGCATGGGTCTGCCTCCTGCCTGGTCACTTTCTGGCTGTGTGGATTTGGGAGGTAAGGCACCCTTTCAGGTTCCAAATTTCTTTATCTGTCAAATGAGATCATTTATATTTCAGATAAACAAATAAATGAGATAAGGAATGGAGGAGTGCCAAGACTGGTACCGAGGGCACCAGTCTGCACTCGGTATGCATTCACTTCTCTCTCTTTCTTCCTGCCAAGGTTAATCCCTCCATCTGGGCAGCCCCTCATCCGGGCTGAAGTCCGTCACCCTTTACTGTATCAGTCAACTTCTCCTTCAAACACTGACCTTTTCTCCATGTGGCTTCTGCCCCTTGACCTGCACCCTGACACAATCTTCGCTTCCTAAAGAAAGCCTCGCTTGACAACGCAGTAAATTACTACAGAACTTACCATATCGATCTTCATTTCCTTCTCCCACTTCCTCCACCCTTGCTCACTGCAATCAGGTTTCTATTCACCCACCCCTGGTCCCTTTAAATTACACTCCCTGCCTCCTTGCTTCCTTGTGGTACTCAGTGCCCAATTCAGTCACATCCCCTCAACACCTCCACAGTGCAGATGACATCATTCACTTCCTTCAGCAAGGGGTAGGAGGGCGAGGTGGCCAGAGGCACACAGCCTTACTTCAAATCCTGGCTCAGCCACTCCCCAGCGGTGCAGGCTCAGGCCAGCCACATGCTCTCTGTAAGCCTCAGTTTCATCACCTATAAAATGGTACTACAAGAAGCACCAGCCTTATTGGTTGTTGTAAGGACTGCATGAGATAATGCATGTTGAGTGTTGCCCATGTGACAAGTGTTCAATATCATTATTGCTGATTATGACCCTTAGAATCTTCTCCCCCTCAGAAACCTGAGGCTCCAACATCCTGTTGACATCCTTCCCAGTCTTTACACATGGGACCTCTCCAGGGCTCTGTCTTCAAGCTTCAGGGTCTATCCTATAAAATATTATGCTCTTCTACCACTGCCCCATCTTCTCCCATGGCCCCACCTCCATACCTCTGGTCTCAGTGTCTCTCCTGTGTCCCACATCTGGACTGTTGTGGGACTTCTGCACATCTCTTTCTGGAAGAGACTCTCTCTGCCTGGGTTTAGACTACCATCCTTGGTCTCACAGCAGGGGAGCGGAGTCATCAGGTTATTCTTTAGTGAGAGTACTCCAGAAGAAATAGGGCCTGAAAACAGCAACCCTGATGAGGAGGTAGCTGCCAGCAGGGCAAAGGAAAGGGACACTAATTTTGAGCGCTTGTCCCGTTAGATCTAATGTCAGTCCTGCAAGGTAAGCACTAATGATCCTGTTTCAAAGATGAAGGGCTGGAAATGAATCTAACTCCAAACCCCATGCTCCACCCACTCTGCCACACTCCATCTGAAACAGTATCTATTTTAAATACACTTTTCCCCAGACACTGTGCCAGTTACTCTATCATTTTAATGCTTCCAGTGACCCTAGAAAGGAGTTATTCCCATTTTACAGATGAATAAACTGAGGTTTGGTGGCTTTCTCAGGCTGAGGCCAATTTTGAGGTTAGTTCAACTAATGATAAAACATATTCTATTTGATACCTAATCTCTGTCCTTGACTCTCTACCTGCCACATTTAATATGCATGCACATACATAACTAAGTTCTGAAGAGAGAATCTTCCAGAGGTACCCTTGCTAGAAGGGCTGATGGAGTCCAATCCCAGAGTGCAAGTCTAGGTAGAGTTGCCTTTTAACACCAAAACTTGAGGTAAAAACTAGACTTTTTGACTGCATTATATTTTGGCCTGTTACAAGAACTCTTCAAATCAAAAGGCAGCTCCATATTTCATAACCTACTAAGATTTCAAGGGTTAGTGCAATTTTCCACAGATAACAAAAGGTAAGTTCAAGGAAATTGTTCTTTGCTTATGAATCAGATATTACTTGGCTTTCTCTGGGGAAACAGGCTTTTACTTCCATAAAAACAAGTATAAAGAATGCAATAGCTGGTTGAGTGAGCCTAAGTTTAGTTATGAGACATGTGAGTGGCTTTCACTATATGATGCTACACTCAGAAATTTCAGATTTGGGTAAATTAGAAGAAAATGTTGTTTAAAATGTTTTTTAAACAACAACAACAACAACAACAAAACACTGTCGCAGAATTGAGAAGCCCAAGGTTAAAGTCTCATCTCTTGAATAGTTAATATATTCACATAGCACAAACATCAAAAAGTGTAAAAAGATATGTACTGAGAACTTTGCTACCCACTCTATTCCCATCCTCCAATTTCTATCCCTTTGCAAAAGTAATCACTGTTATTATTTGGCTGGTGCAAAGTAACTGCTCTCCACGCAGAGCTGTGTGGAGTCTCAATAGAGCAGCTGCTCAGGCACACACAGAGACCCGGGAGCTTTACAAATCTTTGGATTGATTATTTAATTGCTTCGTAACAGATGAGCAAAAAAGGTAGTTTAAATTCACAAAGATATTATCTCTCACTGTTTCTGAGGCAAAGAAACTTAAGAGATCTTGCTGGAAGATTCTGGCTTAGGGTCTGTGATGATGTTGAATTCAACTTGTTGGCCAGGGCTGCAGTTATCTGAAGAACTGATAGATGCTAGAGGATCTGCATCAAAACTCTCATACGGCTGTTGACAGGAGGCCTCAGTTCCTCTGAGGATGCTCACAACATGGCAACCAGCTTCTCCCAGATCAAGGGATCCAAGAGAGAAGGAAAGGAACCAAGATGGATGCTACTGTGTTTTTCATAACCTAATCATGGAAGTGACATACCATAACTTATGCCAAATTGTAGTAGTCATCCATACCAAAACTGGGACAGTGTAGAGGGAACTACACAAAGCATGAACATCAGAAGGTGGGGATAGCTGGGGATCATCTTAGGTGTTCATTACCACAACATTGTTAAGGGTCATTATAGAAAAACTGCTGAAACACAAAGACAAATAGACCATCTTAAAAGCAGCCAGAGAAGAAGGAATAATACATTTGAAAGTGCAACAATAGGACAGAATCAATGGAAGCCAGAGGCAATGGAATAATATCAAAATGCTTACAAATTAAAAATGATTAAATTCAAATGACAACCTAGAATTCTTAACCTGACAAAAATATCTTTCATAATGAAACTGAAACAAAGAAATTTTAGACAAGCAAAAATTAAGAGAATTCACTAGCAACAGATTTATCTTAAAATAAATATTAAAAGCTTTCTTGAGGCAGAAGGAAATTAATCCCAAATGGAAGTCTGGAGATACAAGAAAGAATGAAGAGCTACGAGAATGGTAAATCTGTAGGCAAACTAAATTACTTGCTCTATAAAACAATAATATAATATTTTGCAGTTAAAAATATAAAACAACAATAGTGTAAGAAAGGTAGATTAATGGAGTTCAAGCATTTTAAGATCTTTGCATTGTCAGAGAAGTGGTAAATGTGATAATCTATGTTCAACAGTAGTAAGAAAATAGTGCATGTTTCAGGCCAATTATACATAAAAGTTATCACTAAAATAATGCTTTTTTAAAAGAGATAATTATCAACCTAACTGGGATGTTCACATAGCATAATAAAAAAAATACTAATTCCAAAAAAAAAAGAAAGAAAGAATAGAAAAAGGATAGCATTTAAGTAGAAAAAAAAATAGACAGCAATGATAGATATAAACCAAAATCTTTAAGTAATTATATTAAAGTAAATAGAATATATCAAATAAAATAGAAAGAATTTCATACTGTATTAAAATAATCCTTTGGGAGGCCCAGGTGGGTGGATCATTTGAGGTCAGGAGTTCAAGACCAGCCTGGCCAACATAGTGAAACCCCATCTCCACTAAAAATACAAAAATTAGCCGGGCATGGTGGTGTGCCCCTGTAATCCCAGCTACTCGGGAGGCTGAGGCAGGAGAATCCCTTGAACCCAGAAGGCAGAGGTTGCAGCAGTGAGCCGAGATGGTGCAGTGGCACCCTGGGTGACAGAGCGAGACTCCATCTCAAAAAAATAAAAAAGAAAGAAAGAAGGAAAGAAAGAAAGAAAGAAAGAAGGAAGGAAGGAAGGAAGGAAGGAAGGAAGGAAGGAAGGAAGGAAAGAAAGAAAGAAAGAAAGAAAGAAAGAAAGAAAGAAAGAAAGAAAGAAAGAAAGAAAGAAAGAAAGAAAAGATGAAAAGAAAAGGGTGGGAAAAAATATATTATGTAAACGTTAAATAAAAGAAAACAGATGTAAGTAGACAAAAATTAGACCAAGTGGATTTTAAGGAAACAATGAGTAGAAATTAAGGCAAATATTTCTTAATGAAAAAGGGTTAAAACACCAAAAAGTTATAACAAATATAAATGTTTATGCACTTAATCACATAGGTGCAGAGAATAAAAAATGGACAGAAATAAAATTTTAGAAAAGAAATGAGAAAACACACAAACACATAATCACAGTAGATTTTAGCATCTCTCTTTATTAATTATTAAAATAAACATACAAGGACAAAATTCAGTAAGGAAGCAAAAGATTTGAATAGCCTAATTGTTTTAGTTCTGTCAGTTTTTGCTGCAAGAGTTTTCAAGATCTATAGTTAGATGGACACACATTTAGAATTCCTGTGAATTTTTGAAGCATTTACTCTTAGTATTATGAACTACCCTTTTTATTTCGAGTCATATTCTTTGCTCAGAAGTCTTTGATATTAACATAGACATTTCAGCTCCCTTATGACTAGCACTTCCAGGGATAGCTTTTTCATCTTTTTGCTTGTTATTAACCTGTATCCTTAGATTTAAAATGTGATTCTTGTAGACATGATAGAGATGAGTCTTACTCTTAGTCTTACTTTTTCATTCATTAGACAATCTCTACCTTTCTTTTCTTTCTTCTTTTTTTTTTTGAAATGAAGTTTCACTCTTGTCCCCCAGGCTGGAGTGCGATGGCACGATCTCAACTCACTGCAACCTCAGCCTTCTAGGTTCAAGCTATTCTTCTGCCTCAGCCTCCTGAGTAGCTGGGACTATAGGCATGTGTCACCATGCCTGGCTAATTTTTGTATTTTTAGTAGAGACAGGGTTTTTCCATATTGGTCAGGCTGGTCTTAAACCCCTGACCTCAGGTGATCCACCTGTCTCGACCTCCCAAATTGCTGGAATTACAGGCATGAGCCACCGCACCCAGCCATCTCTATCTTTTAATTGGAGTGTTTACACTATTTACTATGTCATTATTAATATGTTGGGCTTAAGTCTCTCCTTTTTGTTATTTTTTCTTTTTGTTATTTTGTTATTTATTTGTTCTATCTTTTTTTGTGTTTTGTTTTCCCACTTTTCTTACCTTCTTTGATTTAACTGAGCATTTTCATATTCTATATTATCTCCCTTACTAGATTATTAGCTATACTTCTTTGTTGTACTTTATATTCATTTTTTCTATTACAGTAAACATCTTTAACACATTGTCATACATCTTCCAATAGTCTAATCCCACTTTGTATATAATGTAAAAACTTTGCAGATATTCGCTTACATTTCTCTCCACCAGAACTTTGTGCTACTTTTGTCAAATAATTTACTTGTGCATTTTATAAATCTCAAATATATTGCTGTTAATTTTTTGCTTAAAAAGTGAATAGTATAAGGACTTCTGCTTCTGACCAAAATGGAGTAGAAACAAACAGATTGTCCTCCCACATGAAACAACTCAAAAACAAGCAGACCGAATAAATAAAACTGTAGTTTTCAATACACAGGAAGCAGGCAAAAAAGGACGGTAATCATGAGAGACAG